AGCATTAACCCTAACCCTTAAAGTGGACTCAATTTGCACTATTTCTAGGCAGTCTGCAAAGGCCCCAAGTAGTCAATGTAGAGTATCAACAATTAATATATATTGTATATCTAACCAATGTGGTTGTGGTGTTTTTCCTGTCTGCAAAATATGAGTAATAAGGATGTCTTTCATGAAAATAACTGTTATAAACATTTGGCAAATTTAGTTTATTTATTAACACACTTATATTCTACCCTATTTCAAAAGATCTCAGGACAATGTATAATAACATATGTTTAACCGATTCAAAACAATTTAAAATGTATTTAAACTGTCTAAAATTATATTAAGCCATATGACAATTTAAAGCCACTTAAAACCATGTACCTGTACAAATTGAATAAAATTTAGACTCCAAGAGCTGTTTTAACTTGCTGCTGAAATGAAGCCAGCATTTGCTTCAATCATAAAGGAGAGGTCATCCCACAATCATAGAATCATAGAATTGGAAGAGATCACAAGGGCCATCCATTCTAACCCCCCTGCCATGCAGGAAGTCACAATCAAAGCACTCCCAACAAATGACCATCCAACCTCTGTTTAAAGACCTCCAAAGAAGGAGACTCCACAACACTCCAAGGGAATGCATTCCACTGTTGAACAGCTCTTACTGTCAGGAAGTTCCTCCTAATATTTAGGTGGAATCTCTTTTCCTATAGCTTGCATCCATTGTTCTGGGTCCTATTCTCTGAAGCAGCAGAAAACAAGCTTGCTCCATCTTCAATAGCACATCCCTTCAAATATTTAAACAGGACTATCATATTACCTCTTATCCATCTCTTCTCCAGACCCTTCACCATTTTGGTTGCCCTTCTCTAGACACACTCCGACTTCTCAACATCCTTTGATCAAGGCACCACAACAGACAAGACTTGTTTTGTGCCCTCCAAGAGTATTTTGCCCCACTTGCAGGACAGAAAAATCTCAGGCAGGCATATATACGGAGATGCACTCATTCAAGTATGAAGATATCTCCAAGTATCAATACTGGGAATGATATTCTAAATTATTGACATTAATCGCAGACTAAAATAAGCACTCCACCGAAACGCTTCCAAAGCTGTAGCCTCTTGTACCTTTGTTTGTAGGCTTACTGGAGCAGGTTCTTACTACCCCACTCCTTTTAGCTGATTCAGTACCATGTATGATGATGCTACTATATTCAGAGTGGCCAAAGGGTTTTTTCATATTTGGTCCTTGTGTGGATCACAGCAAGTCCTTGAAGCCAAAATGAGAAGTTCCCCACTCCTGACTAGTATTCATCACTTATACTACATAGCATAGTTCAGTTTCTATATGGACATAAAATAGTTGTGTGCAATCAGACCAAGGATATATCAAGCTTCTTGTTTGGAATTCTCTTTTGCAGTCTACCTTGCATAACTTTATCTATACTTGACTACATAGCAGAGGTGCTATGGAAGTCTTCTAGAGAACTGATAAGATATATCCCAGGGCACTGGAAGGGTATCTCAAAGTGCATCAGTCCCATTCTGCATTGTCCCATGTATTGAGTCTGATGTGCATCGGTTCCATTGTGCATCAGTCCTGGTACATATCAGTCGCCATACACATCAAGTCCTGATGCACAATCGTTCCAATAAGCAATGGTCACTTTGCTTAATTTTATTTCCCACAGACATTACTCCAGCTATGAAGACCCAAGTCCTCACTGAATTCTGGTCAATGTTTTGTTTCATGAAAGCTGAGCTGTCCTTCATCAGGGTTACCATCTTTGGGAAACTGTTGAGGCTTGTATCCCAGGAAAAGGGACCATTACCAATATCTATAGCTTTCTAATTCTGCTCCTCTAATTCTGGTTTGCTGTTGTTCACCTGCCCTCTCCAAGTGAATGAACAGCAACACAAAAAGAGTTGTTAATGTCACACACCTACATGGATCTCAAATTCCTGCTTCAGGAATAAGTCAAGCCACTGGCCATAGATGCATTGCAAGAGACTTAGGGTGTATCCACACTGGAAAATTAAAGCAGTTAGACATCACTTTAACTGTCATGATGCCATCCTGTGGAATCCTGAGATTTGTAGTTTGGTGAGGCACCAGTGCTCTCTGACAGACCAGGCTGAATACCTTACCAAACTACAAATCCCAGGATTCCACAGGATAGAGTCATGACAATCAAACCACTTTATGTTTACAGTATGGAAGAGCAGTTAGAAGCTTATCACAATACTGTTATACTTCAATTGTAGTATGTGATTCCTTACCTGGTGGCTATCACACAATGTTGTGTCTCCCCCAGTGCTGTACCATCCTATATCCCCGATGGGTCATTTCTAAATCAATTCTTTTCCCACTTGAAATAATCCAATAATGACCCACCTATCCCGCTATGGTTCAGTAACCAATCTGAGTAAAAATATCTCATTCCACTTTGTTGTAATATTGGGCACAGGGAGTGTGTGGCTCAATGGCTTCTCCCTTAGGATTTCCCTGTGTGTTTCCAGTAGGGAAACCCCAAAATACTTCCAATGGTTGGGCAGGGAGGATACCCAATTCCCAAGAGAACTGCTGTAAATTTGGGTGTCCATTTTCGAGCATGTTTTTTTAAAATTTATTTATTTTTTAAATAAGGAGAGTGGTGCAATAGCTCATTTCCCATGTAATCCTATTAAGGACTGATGCCCAAAGAAACTGTAGAGTTCAAGAAAACTTTAAAAAGTAAATACACATAATTTTAAAGAGTAATATATGAAAGCCGAACCGGGCAAGTGTTGGTTCACAGGGAAAAGCATAGAAAAATAATGGTCCAAGTGGCATGGTGTGTGTTCATCTTCCTGATCTGGCATGGCAGTGCGAGTGGTTATACAATAGTGTCATTATGTAATCGCACAATTGTGCTATTGTGCAATAATGGCTTATGTTTTTAAAGAAAATACCAGTCATGGTGTAGGAAGCAGAGCAAACAGGATGATATAAATGAAATTGTCATATTTCAGATGCGAGAAACATGGGAACTAACACCACTGAAGTGCAAATGTAATGATGGTGCAAGAGAGTGCATTGCCATTCCATTAACTTTGTGAGTACAGAAGAAATTGTTTTCAAATGGAACAACCTGAAACAACTGACTAAATAAGCACTTCAGACATTGACTCACATGCACTCATCTCAGTCGGCTGTATGGGAGTCTCTTTGCTGGATCCCAACTGCTGTTTAGAAGTGAGTAGATCTGGTGTTATTTGCTTTTTTTATAATTTGTCTTTCCTAACTCCTGTAGCCTAAACACCCTGAAGGCACTAGATCCCATTTGGTCTTGGAAGTTATGCAGGGTCAGCCCTAGTTAGTACTTGGATGGGAGACTGCCAATAAACACCTGGCGCTATAGGCTATATTTCAGAGGAAGGAACTGGCAAAACCACCTGAGTATTCTTTGCCTAAGAAAACTATGAAATTAATAGGGTTGCCGTAAGTCAGTGGGAAACTCAAAAACACATACACAAACGTACACACTTGCATGCGTGTGTGTATTAGGTAATGTGGATTAAGAATAGATATATTATAGGGGAAAGTAGAGGAGAAAATAAATACATGCAGAAAATAGCACAGAGAAGGAAAGGAGAGAATTTTTTTTAAATTGCTGTGGAAAAAGCAGAGGTTGAAAAACAGAAAGGAGAAGTCATTTTGGAAGGTTCCAGCAAAAATACAGTTCTTGCTTCTGGACTGGTGGTGCAACAAGTTAACAGCATTGTTGTGAATTGCTCTTCAGCACTAACTTGCAAATGAAATATTTGCAGATTAAGGCTTATCATGCAGACATGGACATCTCTAATTCAAAGCAATTTTACAGCAATTAACAACAGCAACAGTTGGCAGGTTATACAGAGGACTGCAGTGACAAATTCAAGTGGAGCAGACTTTATTGTCTGTCTAACACAAATGATAAATGGCAAAGCTTTGGTTCTGAGACTCATATTAGTCCCACAGCCTTACTTGTCTGGATGGTACTGTTTGTTCCTCAGTTGTTTTGAAACAATCTTGCCGGCGGTGGGAGAAGTTGCTGGAGATGGAAAATACTTGAGCGCAGAGCAGAGCTAACATTGTGTGCACCTCCTATCTTTTCAGTGTGTTCCTACATATACAACCAGGCTTTGTAACCCCTTCTTCCCTCTCACCAAACAAGAGAGCACCCGTGGGCACCTTGAGATGAGAAGATGCTGCTCTCCTCCATAGCTTCCTGGATCCTGTTGTGGTGATGACGCCGAAGGCTCCCCGGACACATTTCCTTTCATTCTGCTGTTCATCTGCCATGTACCAGAGGGGGAAATGCTCATTCAGCATATTGTTATGGCTGTATAAAGAGAGAAGGTTACCTTTTTTTTCACT